TTTGTCCTTTTCCGCTACCGTGGACACGTGTGCATTCCACGAGCAGTCTTTTGCGATCTCTACTCCGAGNCATCCCATACTTCATCGGCGTACTCTAGCGGCGGTACGATTACGCTCTTCAAAACCTTCAATTTGATGCGTGCATCGAGGTGCCGGTTTGAGAGTATTGGGTGCAGCTTCCCTGCTCGTGCTTTGTCCTTTTCCGCTACCGTGGACACGTGTGCATTCCACGAGCAGTCTTTTGCGATCTCTACTCCGAGGTATGTGTACTGGTCCACTACTGCAATCTCCTCGATTCCCCACTTCCATCCACGTTCAACTGGTTCCTCCTTGTTCTCGTTGCATAACACTCTTCTTTTACGTTGGCTTAACGTTGGCAGACAATCTCCACTTATCAGTAAACTTCTTCGTCGCGTCAATTTGCAGTTGCAGTCCCTCAGGGGTGTCCGACATACCGACAAAATCATCCGCAAACAGCATTCCTGAAACCGACCTTTCCGTGCCCCCTACTTTTACTCCCTTCCGGACTGCCTCTGCAACCTCCAACAGATCGTTGATGAACACCCCGAACAATGTTGGGGACAGCGTGCAACCTTGTGGGACCCCCTGCTCAATGTCGAAGAATTTTGACAGTTCTCTGTCTAGCATGACCGCGCTTTTCGTACACTCTGTCATCTTCTTCAGCACTCTCCACATTTTCCCCTTGATCCCGTATTTGGACAGTTGTTTCCACAACCCATTTCTCCATACGGTGTCGTATGCCTTTTTCACGTCCAGGAAGAAGCAGTACGTCGGCTTTCCCGCCCTCTTCCTACCTTGGATGATTCTCCCTACCGTGAATACGTGGTCTACGCACCCCCTCTTCTTTCGGAATCCTGCCTGGCCCTCACTAATGCTATGTTCCTTCTCCAATACTCCCACTAACCCATCGTTCAGTAGCTTACAGAACACTTTTCCTGCTGTGTTCAACAGTGTGATGCCCCTGTAGTTTCCTGGGTCAGTCTTGTCTCCTTTCTTGAACAAGTTCACAACCACTCCTTCCCTCCATCTACTTGGCGTATACTCGTTTTTCCACACCCAATTGTATAGCAGTACCATCAGCTGGATCATCCCCTTCCCCCCAAACTTCATGAACTCGTTGACTATCCCATCCGCTCCTGCTGCTTTGTGGCACTTCAGCTTGTTCACACACGCCTCAACCTCGTCCTCAGTGAACTCCTTTTCTAGTTCTACGTTCCCAACGTCTGCCTTCGATGTCTCTTCTTCTTTTTGGGCCCATGCGTCCACCTCCTTCTTAAACGCTTGGTCAAAAGCTTCATTCTCCGAGGGCACTCCAAGTCTCTTGTAGAGTCCTGCTAGAACTTCCCTTTTTCTCTTCTCACTGCTGACTAATCCCCCCCCCTCGGTGTTTGCCATCGGGGTTGGGTTTTCGTCGCTTGGNTCCACACACGCCTCAACCTCGTCATAGGGTGAACTCCTTTTCAAGTTCTACGTTCCCAACGTCTGCCCTCGATGCCTCTTCTTTTTGGGCCCATGCGTCCACCTCCATCTTGAACACTTGGTCAAAAGCTTCATTCTTCGAGGGCACTCCAAGTCTCTTGTAGAGTCCTGCTAGAACTTCCCTTTTTCTCTTCTCACTGCTGACTAATCCCCCCCCCTCGGTGTTTGCCATCGGGGTTGGGTTTTCGTCGCTTGGCGACCACGCTGTAAAACAAGCCGCCCCCCCCCGGTGTTTGCGGGATTGGGTTTTCGTCGCTTGGCAACAACATTGTGAAACAAGCCAATTCACGTCGTGAACTCGGCAATCAGGTTAGCGTTGTTTTTTTTTACCTCCGGTTTCTTTTTTGGCGGTAACCAATGGTGGTCGAGTAGATCATGTTGTGCGGGGTCGAGAATCCTCACTCCGCGCAAGGGGGATGATCGCACCACGTTGTGTTAAAATGGTCAAGCACCCTCGAGGCAGTTACACAGTGCTTACAA